TTATTTATTTGGGGTCACATTATAGTACAAGTACAGTTTTTCAAATAGAGACCCGAAAGTGACAAATGAAATAGCAAACAAAATTAATCAAAGTAAAATAAAAACGAAAAAGTACACAGGGGTTGTTTGAAATAGGAAATGTCTATACATGTACATGCATACATATCAACATACATATATACATTCAATACACATACATGTGACCATACATACATATCTATACATATACATTCAATCGGTGTATAGAAACAGTCAAACAAGGGATGGTCGTCTTTGGGATATGTAAATTCTCCACTTTTTCCATATTTCTTCAAATGTGTTTTCCTGAAGCCTCATTGAGAAGGTGATTCTTTCCGGTGATACACAATTCAATGTATGATGTTGCCCCATGTGCAGCAAATGAAAGCAAAATGTAGTCTTAATAAAGCCAAACCTTAAATCAGCTGTAAGGGTTGCATGATAGTCAACAAGTTAGTGATGGGCTCCTTTTATATGCATAAGAAAGTATTTAATTTGATAGTGTTTTCTTTTCTTTTAAATCATATTAAAGACATTTTAAGACCATTCAGGCCTACATGTTAAACTATTTGATTTAGGACTTTCTAAGAACCTGCAGAAAGCCTCAAAAAGCTAAGGTTAAACACTCAAACTACAGTATGTCTATCTAGAAGAGAATAATGAAGGACCCTTCACCTTCGACGGATTTTTTCCCAAGCGATGGCGCCTTCTGCCACAGATACGATTTCCTAAACCAGGCCTCAGGTCACAAAGCCAGTGAACCACGTGGTCCAGGAAGCAATTCAACTCAGCAGCAGGACAGAAAGACCTGCAAGCCCACTTATAATCACATGAGGGAAGAAAGAGAAGTGCTCTAATTAACTACCATTATAAAAGGAAGGCTCTACTACAACATCCCATTCTTTGTCCACCCATAGTGCTTTTCCACCAAGAGAGCCGGCTCCTGGCACTTAAAACTGGTTCGACTCGTGAACCGACAATCTACCCAGCCGGCTTCAAGATCAATGCCAAAGCTGCATACGTCAGAGGCGGGGGAAAGTAGAGCCGGACTATTAGCCACATCACTCTGGAGAACAGTATAAAGTTGAAAAAGTTGTTATTGCTATTTAATAGCTTTGTAAGTTTAATAGCAACATAATCAAGGCTCCAGCGTAGTCTGCTATTCTTAGTCCGGCAGTGACTGTGAACCATAGGGTCGCTGGTTCAATTGCCCGGACAGACCTAAATATGGAGTGTGGACTGCATTTAGGCTCCTAGTACTAGGATGGGTTAAATGCAGAGGTCACATTTCACTGTGTGCTCTGCATGTGTGACCATTAAAGAGGGGTTCATCCGATTCTATCTATCTATCTTCTTATTGTAAGGGATATTCACGCTGGCATTGCAGCGACGTTACAGTGACGTAACAGGACTTGGCTCCTCTCAGGCTCTGGTTGGTGGAAAAGCAAACTGGTTCTTAAATAGTTGGCAAATTGAAACGACTCTGAATCAAACTAAGTTAACTTCAGCACGGTACAAGAACATATCTAATTTGAGCGGGAAAGGGTGTACAATAGTGTTTTTTCATCGAGGCAGTTCCAGTTTGTAGACGCAGGAAAGGTTTGAACCAGTATTTCCACTGCAACGGCACAGGCTCTCGGCCCCAAAAATGTGTCAAACGACCAACGTTTTTATTTCCTGCCATCACCAAGAGTGAGATATCCAGAAAAGTTCATGGCAAGTATGATACAGAGAAGTAAAGTGTTGGAGAAGTTGTGCTTGCAATTGAATCAAAGCAACTGAAGCACTGCTTTGAAGCAGTCAGCCTTTGTTGTTTTTTGTGAGCGAAATTCCTGCTGGTTTTGCTGGGAAAAGCATGAACGTACACAGTGACATCACGCCTTTCAGACTTTGGTTAGTGGAAAAGCAATCTGGTGCTAAGGTACGTTTTTAAGTTCAACCAACTCCGAACCAACACTAAGCCAAGAAAGGATCATCTCGGATGAAGACTCATTTTAGGGGTACCGGTATTTATCACTACAGATATCATTTTGATAACCAAATAAAGCTTGTATACTTTGAGATAACAATGCGATAATACACTGTGGAAAAAATATATGATGGAAAGATGGAGGGAGGAGGGACAATACTCTCCAACTAAAAGAAAACTTAAGCTGTTGCGTGGAGGAGGAAAGGAAGGAGAGGAATAAAAGAGCTGCGTGACAGACTGTTCTTGACAGATTTCTGCAGGTTATGGTTTAGCTTCCTCTCTCTCTCTCTCTCTCTGAGGATGGAGAGCCTAGATGGAGATGAACTCTGCTACCCACAACTCAACTCCTCCTGCAAGAAACCAACACATCCGTACACTCAGGCCATGCTGATCTATGTCCTGCTTTCATCCATCTCTCTGATCACTGTGGCTCTTAACCTGCTGGTCATCATCTCCATCTCACACTTCAGGCAACCTTTTATGTTATCAATTGTACAAATATTGACCATTAAGATGACATTGTTTTGATCTGGTGAATTGTGGTGAACATTTAGGAGTGAACAAACTTAGAAATGACAGAAAAGTTGCTTTTTTCCTTTGCCTTCTTGCCTTTTTCAAGTCTTAATACAATTGTTGTTCTTTATAATTACAATATCTGTCTTTATGCTATTCTTCCTCTCCAGGCAGCTCCACACCCCCACCAACCTCCTCCTCCTCTCCCTGGCTGTCTCCGACCTGTTTGTGGGCCTCCTGCTGATGCCCGTTGAAATAATCTACATCGAGGCCTGCTGGTTTCTCGGTGACATCGTGTGCACTCTGTATTACGTTATCGACTACATCATCACATCTGCTTCGGTAGCAAACATGGTGCTCATATCTGTTGACCGCTATATAGCCATTTGTGACCCGATGCATTACGGCACCAAAGTCACAAAGCGGAGAGCACAAATCCTGGTGTGTCTGTGTTGGATTGTCTCTGTTTTCTACAGACCTCTGCTTTTGTACGATCACCTAGAAAAGCCGGGCCGGTCTAACTCTTGTTTGGGAGAGTGCCTTGTTGTCATTAACTACATTGCAGGAGTTATTGACCTTGTTTTCTCCTTCATCATACCCATTACTGTCATCATAGTTCTGTATTCGAGGGTGTTTATAGTGGCTTTGTCTCAGGCTCGAGCCATGCGTTCCCATATTGCAGCTGTAACAGCGCAGCGTTCAGGGACAGTAACCGTGAAGAAAAAAGAGATGAAAGCAGCCCGGACTCTCGGTATTGTTATTGTTGTGTTTCTGTTCTGTTTCTGTCCGTATTATTTCCCCGCTCTGGCAGGCGAAGACACTTCCGTCGACGCTTCGTCTGCAGCTTTTGAGATCTGGTTGGCACATTTTAACTCGTGTTTGAACCCGGTCATCTATGCCTTTTTCTACCCCTGGTTCAGAAAATCCATTAAACTCATCCTGACACTTCAGATACTGAAGCCTGGTTCCCGCGAGGCTCAAATACTATAGTGACACACTGAGTTGTTTAAAAGTTGTTTTTTATGAAAGGGGAAATGTAATAGTTTGCAGGAGTGTACAACATACTTATATTTATTCATTTAAGTAATATCACAACGTAGGAAAACTCTGTTACAAGTAAAATACATGCATTCTTAATTCCACTTAAAACTACTCATTCTGCACGATCTTCCCTTTCAGAATATAATATATTTTAGTGTTAAATGATTGATGTTTGAATTTGATTATCAGTCTAATGTTGCACCTGTTTGTAATGTACATACTGTACAGCTTGTGAATTGTATCAGCAAAGTTGTATCTTTAATGTGTACATGAAAGTGGATTTGTTTAATGTATTTGTACTAATTATCAGAAACTGACTATTGAAGAGATACTGAAGCTGTCAGATAAATGTCGAGGATTAAAGAGGAATGAAAACATGGTCTTTAAACGGATATATTCTTTATGAAAAAGGAAATGTAAAATGTTCCAGCAGTGGATGGGCTTTCACATTTGTAATAGTTAACAGTGTAATGGGCAGGTTCTGGGTAATCTTATTGTACTTTACTCTTTTAACTTACTGTGTTTATTATAGTATTTTAAAATGATTGCTTGTTATGCTTCTCTTTAAATGCTTTAGAAGAGACGAGGAGAGGGTTATGAAATTCATCTTGTTGTAGGATTGCTGTATTTGCTTTGTGTTGGTCATTGTGTTAAGGATTTTGTAAATGTTTTGTTGGAATACGCGCCATGTGATAATATCAGTAACCATGTTGGAAATAAGCATTCTCACTTTCCATGTTATCCTTGGATTGTTTTCTATATCCATAAATAAAATCAATCTTTGGGGTAATCTCAGTAACACCACATTGTTTGTAAGTCCTGCATTCATAATTGTACTTAAAGCACAAAATGAAAAACCACCAATTCTGCACAAGGGCCAATAACTTGATGAAGAGAAAACTCCTTTTTCTTGAAGGTTATTTCAGTTGGTCAGAATAAAACATTATAATGTTCATATACAAGTTTAAGGTATTTTAGAAAAAGGAAATGATGTTCTTATTCAATGTTATTAAATTAAATTAAACTTTATTTCCATTGTGCAGCAGAGTTCAGGTGCAGGTCAATACAATGCATTAAGCATCCAACCAGAAGTACCTATACTAATATATTAAACAATTAACAGGAAGTTCAGTAAAGCATAAGTGATGCTATACGTTACAATGTATATTTCCACTTTTATGATCTGGTGAAAGACACAGGTAACAAAAAAATATATATATATTTTACTGATTAAAGGCTAAACAGTATAGCAT